CTCCCAAATTGCCAAGTTCCAGGTACCTTAACGTCTGTGACACATTCATCCTCCAAACCCCGCAGGGTGCCAGGGGACAGAAGGGGCCCCAGCTCCCCGTTCTCCAGGGCGACCATGTCCACCAGCCCTAGGACCTCTCTGGGGTTGAGGGGGGAGAGAGACAGGGAGGTCTGTGAGAGGTGGGGCCAGGCAATCAGACCTGTCCCCCACTCACTGCGTTTGTGACCCTGGGCCACTCCCTTCCTCTCTCTGAGCCAGCTCTGCTCATCCCTCAAAGGAAGTCTTCCGAACTCTTGCTTCCCTGGCTCCAGCTCTCTGAGTCAGCTCCCTGATGGATGATGTCCGGGCAAGACTTGCAGGGTCAAGTTCAGGCTTGGTGATCTGACACGCAAGGCCTCACCCATGATCACCTTCAGCCAACAGAAGCTCCCTTCCTCCTCTGCTCCCGGCCTTGGTGGCCTCCCCATCCAGCCTTCATTCCCCTCTTTCTACTCCCTCGCATGTCTCAAACTATGCTCATGGCTTCCTCTCCGTCAGGAACACCATCTCCCTACAAACTGGACCTAACCCATGTCCCACCACTCCAGGAAGCTTCCAGACTCCCTATCCTGCCTCCATCTCTCATGGGTGGCATGGCCGCGTCATTCACGTGTATTCCCAAGTGAGATCACATGGTTGATGTTGGTAGCTGTTGCCCTCCCGCTCTTCTGGTGACAGCATTCCGATTTTGTTGGATAACCACCCACCCCTTTCACTCTCCAACGCGTGGTTTGGGCGTGGCAAACTCCCTCCTCCCTGCAGTGGGTAGGAGACCCAGTTGTAGCTAATGATGACATTTCATCCTCCAGCCACCAGAATGGGTATGTTTTAGGATTCAAAGTCTCAACAGTCACAAGATTTTAGGCCTTGGGGGGTGGGCGTCAAGTGTACGGCGGGTCTAGATGTTACAATCATAGAATTGAAGGGGCCAATAGCACTCAAGTCCTAAAATTGGAAGGATAAACAGTGTCAGGGTTCTGAGATCCAAATGGGAATGCGGCTAAGGTTTAGGATTGGAAGGCTCATCGATGCTGAGGCTCTAAAGTTGAAAGAGTCATAAATTCTAAAGTTTTCAGATTGGGAGAGTCAATGCCCGGGGCGCTAAGGAGAGCAGTGTAAGACTTCTAGAATCCTAAGGGTCAACTGCGCTAAAGTTAAGGGTGGGTGGGGCTAAGGTTCTAGGACAGGAACGGCCAACCATGCTGAAATTCTGGGACTGGGACGGTGGACAGCTGAGATTCTAGGAGTGTGAGTGTCAGTGATGCTGAGGTTCTTGGACGGGTAGGTCCACAGCTGCGCTCCTAGGACTGAAATGGTCAATGTGCTAAGACTTTAGAACTGGAAGAATCGGTGGTGCCAATAGGTTCTAGGTCTGAAAGGGTGGGCAGTCCTAAGATTTTAAGGCTGGAAGGGTCAATGTTACTAAGACTCTAGGAGTGTGACTATAGATGACGCGAAGGTTCTGGGTCCAGAAGGCTTAACAGTGGAAGGGCGGACAGTGCTGTGATCCCGAGTGTTAAGTGTTCACGGTGCTAAAGTTCTTGGACCAGAACAGCGCCGAGGCTCTAGGACTGGAAGCGTCCACGGTGCTAAGGTGCCCGGCGGCAAGAGTGGGCAGCACCGAGATTCTAGGATTGGAAATGTCACCAGTGCGGAGGACTGGAAGGGGCAATGGCGTTGGGGTTCGAGGATGGAAAGGTTGGCTGTTCCAAGGTCTTTGGCATCGCAAGAGGCCAGTGCTGGGGGTGGGGCTGGGGTTCTAGGCGACTCCGGGGCAGCCCGAGCCGGTCCAGCTCACCTGGGGTACACCTGGTTGTGCCAGTGCAGCAGCGCGTAGCGGTCGGCCAGCGGCAGCCTGCGGCGGGCGGAGGTCCCCAGCCACTCGGCCAGCGCGCCGTGGTAGCCGCGCAGGTAGACGCCAAAGGCTCCCAGGCCGGCGGGGTAGGCGGGCGCCAGGCGGCCCCGCACCACGGCCATGTCCTCCAGCAGCCGCGCCCGCAGCGCCTCCAGCTGCCCCGCCAGGCCCCCGGGCGCCCCGGGGGCCGCGGCCTCCAGGCGCTCCCGCGCCGCGCGTGCCACCGCCTCGGCCCAGCGGGCGCGCAGCTTGCGGGCCGCCCCGGGCCCCCGGCGCC